CTACCCCCGACACCTACTTGGCTCCTTGTCCTTGTGCGGACAAACACGCTGTCACGATGAAGATCCTTTATATGGGCGTATGTTTCATTGCGGTCTGGATTTGATCGATTATAAGCTTAGATAAGTTACTTATCTGTAAATCTCGCAGGTTTTCCGGAACGACACTCAGCCAGCTCTCCAGTTATGCGGGGAAAAGGACCTCACCAGGTAGCTTCACATGCGCGCCCTGCAGCCCCCTGGAACATTTGGCTAACCATTACTAGCTTTTCACGCTTTACTCGTCAGAAGTATGCCCACCCATCCTCTCTCGGTCCGACAGGGCTAGGTCACTAACCGCCAAGCGCTTGACAGCTACGATGAATTCTTGATGCTCTTCACCCGAACGGTCGCCGAAAAGACAAAGCCAGGCCAGCGACAGGATATTGAAGAAAAGGCCTACACATTCCACGCTTACGGACGGACAGAGGGTGTTGCCGGTGTTATTGTGACAGATGGGGACTATCCTGCCCTAGTGGCCCACCAGCTTTTGGGCAAGATTGTGGACGAGTTCCTTGCGAAATACCCACGCACTGCCTTCTCCGATCCCTCTTTGCGCGAAAATGCGTGCCCGTTGCCTCAGCTCAAGGATTATATCGTCAAGTACCAGGACCCAAGCCAGGCCGACAGCATCATGAAGATCCAGCAGGAGCTTGACGAAACCAAGATTGTCCTGCACAAGACAGTATGCTCTTATCTCTGTATGATTCTAATTTTACGTGCTAACTGTTTCTAGATCGAAAGTGTTCTGGAGCGTGGTGAGAAGATCGACTCCCTGGTTCAGAAGAGTGATGGGCTGTCAGCACAGAGCAAGATGTTCTATACCCAGGTATGCAAATCGAATATTTCCTCATACGAATGTACTAATGCAATTAAATCTAGGCCAAGAAACAAAACTCTTGCTGTGTTGTGATGTAAACCAGGATCAGCGGTACATTGTGTATTTGATTATGACTGCTTCTTCTTGGATTTAACTTACTCGTGTAATCAGACGCCGAAACGATGCATCTCTTTGCTACTGTATCTGCTCTTATTTCTCGATGCCTATCATTTTTTGTATCAAGTTCTGTCAATTAGGAGGTATCTTTGTCTTGTTCTTCACCTATGAACTGAGAATTTTCCCAAGTCCCAAACAAGAACTCACCGGAAGCTATTACAGTGGCAAAAGGTCAGAGTACAGAAAATAACAGCCATAAGTAGATTGCAATCAGATATAACTGAGCCTAAATGTGGAGGCACAAATGGCGTTTCTGCTGTAGCTCTAGTGGGCCTCGGGCCAGGCCCCGGTATTACGTTATGAACAGTGACCCTCCCGAGGTCCAGGGGCCCACGGATGGTAAAGTAGTGATTATACCTCCTACCCTATTAGAGTATAGATAATAATTTAGATACTAACTAGCCACTATAGTGTTTTAATATAATCCTCGGGGGTATATATATCTTCTATGGAAGATAGTAGATAACTAGTAAAGGAATAATATATTAAAAATAATATTATTAGTAGCTTCAATGACCACAAAGAAAGTGAGACTAGGCTTCGGCTAAGTAGACTATAGCGAGAGATATATAGTAAAGTTACCTAAACCATCTAAGCTCGAAATACAAGTGGTAATTATTGTAATCCTAATAGCTGAGATAATCGATATAAAGTCAATATAGCCTAGTGTTATAATCTTAGTAAAAGACGGGGGAATAGCGAGTAATATTAGGATTGCAGTAGACATAATGCTGAAGATAATAGAATACGAACTACTTTAAGCGATGATATTCTGGAATGTCTATTAAGGCTATCAAGCAAGACGAGAAAGTGTGGTCTATGTAGCAAAAGCAAGTCATAATTCTCCGGGAAGTCGCAACGACTTCCTAAGACAAGAATTGAGGATGTCACCTGTCGTTCCGTCAATCGCAAACGGAATTTCACAGTTTCACCTTCTCGGAGGGCACTTGGACACGTAAGACTCCCTGGGTACGGACTGGTCAGCTATCCAGCGTAAACGGCGCAAGCAACGTAGGCAGTCTGAAGGGGAAGAGAAGGTGAGATAATGGATACCTCTTGGACACATGTGGCCACCAAGATCCCCTTGGGAGACCAAATTCTCTGAATCACCAGCGCACGATCATTGCCAGCCCATGGGCTCTCTCTTTCGGAACACATCCACTCATCCACCCGCACCGCTTCGGGTTGGTGGAAGTAAATTGTATGATTCAGACTAGCTGCCATGGACATTTTGGTCCCGAACGTTTGACCCGGTCGGTCGTGTACTTGAACTGCGGCGCCAATAAAATATGCGTCGGACATATATGCCAGCGCCGCGAGCTGGGCCTGAGAAGTCCTTTGCTGGATGGGGTCCTTGGCCCGCATCCAGTATCGGATCTGAGTGTTGGTCAGGTCGTGAGATACTTCTATTTATTATCTTAGATCCAAATAAGAACAAAGAGAAAAACAAGCTTCAATCACGGTTAGGGCCAGGGAAAGACTTACGATTCAGGATTTCCCCCCATCGAGCCTCAAATGGCCCATCTACTCCCTTCCCATCCATCTCTGCTTGATCGGGTAGTGTCAAACCCTTAGGCATTTTTCTCCCATGTTTGAGTCTCCCTGCCTTGTCAATGTCATCGTTATTACTGTACGTTCCCACCCGCACAAAGTTGACGATTGCCTCGGAGACCACACCGGCCTTCTGGATGGCGTGGACAGTCCTCGTTATGAAGCTTTTCCCATTACGTGTACGTTCAACACGATATTCAATCGGCTGCTTTGGATTACCGGGGCTGACAAAGCTGCAGTGGAGAGAGTGGGCGACGTAGTCGCTCGGTGTGGTCTTTTGAGCGGCCACAAGACAATGAGCAACAGTTGATCCGCCGTAGACTCCATAGCCGCCCGCGAAGCTCCACAGCGGTTGAGTGTTAGTGAAGTTATCCTGAAGAAGAAATAAGCTACTTTAGAGAGACAGATGACCAAGTAGAAAGCAAAAGAAAACAATCAAAGAAAGAGGCGTACCGGTTCCGAAGACACTGGCCTCAATTCGACAGCCTTTTCAATAGGTATGGTGTATTTCTCCATTGCTAATTCGACGAATATACAAGTCGGATCTGAGAGTGCTTGGCTATAATTTGGAGAAGTGAGGATGAATAGCCGTACTTAAGAGGATTTTGATGAAGAGAACCGTAGAACGAGTCTCGCAACATGTGACCGCGGGCCCTGATCCCTGCAGCATTCGCTCCTAAAAGCTTACAGTGACGTGTCTTGCTCCACATCCCCTGATTCGCCCTTGTTTATTTAGCTGGCACCTAACTCTCTGCTCCCTCCATGGTCCGTCGTCGCCCACGCTGCTACTAGGCACGAACAACACATATACGATCTCGACGGTGCGACGGTCAACCGGGCCGCTCATTTGTAGGGACCTACCTACTAGACCCGGTCGTCCGTATGGTAGAGTGCTAGAGGAGGACAGATAGGCAGGGCATCACTGCCTGTCTGCAATCTATACACTGAGTGCCCACAATCTATACATACATCGGGTGCCCACAGTCGGCCCATTGTGACCGTGTCGACATTTATCTTCCCCCTGATTCCTTTCGTGGGCCCTGAAGGCTTTCTCGGTGCTATGTACATACCCCATGCAACTCCTTAACCCCTTCTGCCTATCTGCTCTCGCCATCTGCTACCATGGGAGGATATCCGCTACAGGACTTGTGAGAATTGCCGGCACCGGTACCGCTCAGCTTCTGCGATGGCCGGAGGGCCGCAGACTTCACAGAATCCTCAGTCCGCGGCGGATACTCCTCCGTTCCGAAGTCCCTATCACTGCACCTACCGGGACCACTATCCACTATAGAGACTGCAAAGAACCAACAACTGGCTTCGGTTGAGTCAGTCCGAGGGGACATCTGCTCGCAGCGATGTGAACGGCGCTAGCCATCAGCGGTCACTGTGAACCATTAGACATGCAACTTTTGTCGTATTAGAACGTCTGCTGTTGTCTAAAGAGCGTGTAAACAGCAGAGATGTTCAATGCCCATCTGTCTTTTCCGATAATCAGATGAAAGGAGCGGGGTTCCGCAAAAGTACTTGGAGTAAACAGGCCCAACTTGCTGTACAATCCCAAGATTACGTACAAAAACTTTGATCGCCTTCGTCAACGAGGCACCTTCTGGAAGCACTATCTTCAACCGGCTTCTTGCTTTGTCTGGTATCTCTGACTTCTTCGTCTGGGGAAGTATCTGCCTTGCCCATATCCGCTTCCGTTCAGCTTGGGCACGTAACGGGCACACCATACAGGAGCTTACCTATTTTGCTCCCTTTGGCGTGATTGGGAGCTATATTGGTCTGGGCCTTAACGTGTTGTGCCTAATCGCGGAATTTTATGTCTCTGTGGCTCCAAAAGATGCACAAACATTTTTCATGAACTATCTTGCTGGGCCGCTTGTGATACTACTTTTTGCCAGTTGGCTTCTCTATACCAAGTTGAATAAAGATCCGAGTCTCGATCGTGGAGTTTGGTTCATTCCAATCGAGAAGATAGACATCGACAGCTTTATGAGGGACTCTACTCTCGATGTGGACCTTCCACCAAGAGTTGAATATCCCACTTGGGCTGCTTGGTTTAAAGCTGCTCCTATGCGTATACTTCGCTCGATAATTTGAGAGAGGGGAGGCCATCTATATACTTCCCAGTCAGAATTGAAATCCCATTAACAGGATAATCCATTGCTTCATATCCCAGAATGGGAAAGTGCACCAAATCCTCAGAACGAAGTTCCGTATGTATTATGAACTAATTACTATCTAACATGTTGAATATAGCTGTCTATTTTACCAATATCATACAAAAATCCATGATACCCGAGGGAATCATACTAGACCCCCTAGATGGAAATAACATCCTGACACCTTACCGTACGGAGCAAGCCCTAACATTCACACAACCACCTTGCAGTAAGAGCGCACAACCGTTTGAACTCTATTTGGAATTGCTAACCTGGGGGAGAACAGGCTTAGCGGCGGGCGGACTAATCCAGAAAACGGGATAACGGCGTTGGATATTATATACGATCAAAGCCACAGCCAGGAGCATGGCTGATGAGAGCAAGACAACTGGCAGGTAGTACCAAGACAGTTCCCACACAGCTTCGTCCACTGCGGGAAGGAGGGCTGTGGCACCGGCTGGAGGATGAGTTGTCTCGGTAATCTGCATAACAACAATGGCGACAGCAGATGAAAGCGATGCGGCTAGCCAGCGCAAAGAGTTGAACCTCTCTTCATCGGGCATTAAGCTGAAGAGTTTCGTAATGCAGATGCCGACCAGAGCGCTCAGAAAATGGCCTCCGATCAGAGCTCGTGGCTGTGCTAATGGGGCCTCAATGGCGCCATAGACGAGGACTGCCGATGCTCCCTATTTTAGAATAAGTATTTGAGAAGGACGCGAAGAAAAGGGAGACGGCACATAAGAAGCAATGATACCCGGTACACCACGTTCAATGAAGTAGGAAGAGTGATTGAATATGGCCTGTACCACACATAGACCACAAAATGCGGCTATGAACGACCAGAAGTGGACGAGATATTTCGAGGGAGGCTTTGGTGCAGTCTCACGATAGCCCAGCCAATGGCTGATGGATCGAGGGAGGCGGGCCAAGAACTCTTTCTCGGAGATCATTATTAGCCTTGGCGGAATTAAGTCACAAAAGATCGGATTTTAGGTTAAAGGTAAATTGTAGACCTGAAAAGGATTCCAATTGAGATAAACAAAGGGTTATGTGACGGTACATTTCTTTGTTTGGAGGGGGATTATAAGGGCCATAAGATCACAGAGAATCCCGGATACCGGCAAACTAGGGATTTAACTAGACCGGGATTTGAAAACAAATACAGATGGCCATTCTATTTCTCGAGAAATCGAACGGCGGCCCTGCGCCACCCCAAAATTAATTCCGCTTGAATCCGAATCTGACAGTAGCTGCTAATAATTCCCCGACCCGTTCAAGCAAGGTTTGCGCTTCTTGACTTAACGAGATGACCACCGACTGGTGGTCGTTGACCCTTCAAATCACACAAAGGGGGAACTAGAATATGCTTCCCGTTGTGTGATTTTTGTAAATGATTCTTATTGCACATTGGTTTATTAATGTTCCGTCAATTGGGCGCGTAACTCAGTTGGTAGAGTGTTCGCTTTGCATGCGAAAAGTCCAGCGTTCGAATCGCTGCCCGTCCATTTCATTTTTTTGTCAATTATACAACAGTGTCGTAATGCTACTAGCGGAATCTATTTTTCCCCTTGGAGTGGTTAATAGACATGGCCAGCTAGGTTGGTGATGGAATTTGAATTGCATCGAGAGCTGACATCCAGCCTAATTTGCCATATATCTTTGGGTTCACAAATCAAGGTATAGGATGGCGGCTGTGACTTGCACCACTGGGAATGGGCATGAGTCCCTTATTCTGCGTTGCAGTGAGGACCAACTATTAGGGCTTTTTACTGTTATTACTTACCGTGATGCATGATGCAAGTCCAGTGGGATCCTAATGTCCAGATAAGATGAGGCTAACTAAAGGGGGGTTTTAACAAATCTTCAGAGATTTCTAGGAGAATAGAAGGGAAATATTAGTAGATGACGATCAGTCTCGTGTATTATGACCCATTTAATGTACGCGTAGGTATAATATGATCGGTTTACGTTGAGTCTATCCGGGGACTGTGCTACCGCATCGGTTTGCTCAACTGTTATTATGTAGTCGAACCCTACAGCTGACGAGCTTCCGTTTTTAGATTTACTACATTTAATAAACATTAGACTACTCCAATGTCATGCGGTTAGGGTGTGGAAATAGATTGAGAGGGAGGAGTAAGATGTCGATACACTATATATATATTTCGACCTCATATTTATATTAACGCCTCGATAATTATTTTCAACAACACTTCGCTATAAATCATCACAATGCTAAAAGAACTGAATTGTAGCAGTCATGTACTATCACTCATCCCAATATTTTTCCTTCAGACCTCAAATTTAAAGACAAGCACGGTGGGCTATCAAAGCTAAAATGGAGAGGCTATAGAGTCAAGGAAACGACAAACTTACATAACAAGCACTAATGGTGTAGTGGTAACATATAACACTTCCAAGTAGTCACCTGACTACTAAGTTATGTTGTGCCGGGGGTTCGATTCCCTCTTAGTGCATTTTTTTTATATTTTTTTCTACATCCTTAGGAAATATTGAAATTGCCGATGAGTGATTATTAATCTCATCGTTCGCTTGGACTTGGAACTTTGAAAAGGCGCAGCGTGGGCTGAGATGAAACCCCGGCAAGCCCAAACAAATCATTCGCATGGCTAGTCGGAGATCTATACAGAGCTGGGAGGTCGGAAGAAGCCTCACCGAAGAGCTTGAAGGCAAAGGAAATAGACAAATGAAAACTATATCCACTAACCTTTAGAAGATTCTATGATATGGACAATCGTACCGCAAACTATTATACTGTGTGGCTAAATCCTATGGCCTTCGTTGTTGTATTCGCTCACAACTAGAATTACAAACCAATGCTATATATAGGCTTTATCTACTCCTGCGCGATCATCAATGCCTGCATCGACTGGGGGACAACCGTGGATGTTCTGCACATGCTGGCAAATGATATTTAGTTAGATCTTCTAGGGCTAAGACCCCAGCTACCGAGTGTGTTAGAAACTAGTTTTATTTCGATAAGCATATCACGAAGATTAGTGCTGCGGAGTTAATGTGATCTTATGCGTTGTAGATCCTTGAAATTTTGTGGTTGTCGGGTGGACATACATCATGGCTTGGTGAGTAGATGGAACAAAAAAAACCACATTCCTCGGAGCCCAACCTCGGAAATTATTAAACTTAGCGTTGGTCCGTAGCTGGTAGATGGAAAAACCGAGAAATTAGGAAAACAAAAAAATCAAATATAAATTGGGGCGATGATTAGATGTATTCTGTAGCGAACTGGTGAATTATCAACTGTGTCGGAAACAGGCTTACACAATTCGAGACTCGAGAGATAGTGTATCGAGAGTAAATAATGGATGTTTTGCGTGCAATAGAACCCACATTAATTATCGGATCGGAGCCAAGTATGAATTCCATGTTCGGGTAGGCTATAGGCTATCCGTTGATAGCCTATAGCCTACCGTGTATTGATGCTTCGCAATGACGTCGGAAATCCCGTAGGCTATACGAAATGAACTATGTGAGGCAAGGTGACACAGCAGTGCATATCTGATATCCGAATGGTCTCCTATATAAACCCCGGGTTTCTGCGAGTCTTCATCACAACCCGACAAACCCTCTTTCTAAACACTCTATCCAAAACAGTCAAACTCCAACATGCAAGAACCAACCTATGACCCTAGGTAAGTAAGTATCAAATCATGTTGTCGGATGGAAGCTAATAAAACAACAGCCGTCCTATGCCCGCACTCGAGATTGCCTACTCGTACAAGCTAGTTGGCATCCCTAACAAGAGTATTGTCAGCTTGCGCGTTGAATTCCCACCCAACGGATCAACTCCCCCGCATCGTCACGCGGGTGCAAACGTCGGTGTTTATGTGCTCAAAGGGACGGTTCTCAATAAAATGAATGACGACCCTATGAAAATCTTTAAAGAAGGTGGAACCTTTTTTGAAGCACCCGGCTGTCACCATCGCATCAGCGATAATGCTAGCAAGACCGAGCCAGCGACAATCATTGCTACCATGGTCACCGACACTGACGCCTTTGAGAGGGATGGGATGGCGGCGCTTATCCAGATTGACGAGGAGTACCGGAAATGAGAATGACTGAGGATTGACGCGATTTTATAGCACACCCCTGTCAAACCATGAATATAACCACAACATTTCCGATTCAAGATTTAGTAGGGATATTATTAATAAAGGGAGAGCCCTCGTGGGAAAAAAAGGGCACAAGAGTCAAACTTGAAGTCGATAGTCCTTAGCCGGTGCTCACTTAGACGCTTTAAAGTATTCTTAGTCAAAACGAATATATTCCCAGCATTTAGCTAATTAATCCCCTGTAAGATTAACCCGCAAGCTGATAGATGTGCAGTGAATATCTCGAGGTAACAGGCCTCTGTAACCTCAATCAAGACCCCTCGAACGCGGCAGTGAAACATGCCGTTTGGTTGGAGTTGGAAATCCTCTACAGTGAGCATCGCACTAAGTATATCGTCCACTCAATGGGAGTCCGGACAGTAACCCTTTTAACCAAGCGTAGGAAGCGCTCATCAAAGATCCTAGCTGCTATTCTCTCTATCTTAAAGGAGTAACCCGAGTCGGCGGACTGAGGGCCAAGTTATCTCCAGTAAAGATGAGCTCGGTATTCAGACGAGCCGTGGTGTGTCGGTCGAGGGTGGTACCAAGACCAATGACGAGGACTGTATAGTCGTTGCCAGAGATCATATCAGGCAAGGTGGAGTCAAGCTGGGCTGGATCATCTTGAGCAGCCTCAGCTATAGGGTTCGTGGACGGGGAAAGGGCATTCTCCAGCTGGGTGACACGACTAGTGGGCACAGACAGTGTGGCGGTAGGTGGGTTAGCCTTAGAAGTGACGTGGGTGGGAGCCACGGCAGAAACATTATGCCAGTTAGTATACTCCAAGGTGCTTTGAATTAGCTATAGACTTAGCGTTATACCGGACCCGACCGACGAGACACCTGTAGCGCCTGTAGGGTTACCTCTCTAAGGAATAGGAGTGTTATCCATGGCTTATTCAAAGTGCCGTAGAGTATGGTTGAATAGCAGTAGGCCCAATCGCTTGAAAAGGGTTAGGATGCGAAGGAAGAAGAGATGGTGTGGGTAAAAGAGAATAAGAGAAGGGATGCAAAGGAAGAAGGGATAGTGGAGGTAGCGGAGGTAGCAAGAAGTGATAGGAAGAAAGGTTGAGAAGAGATAAAAATGATAAGGACTAATAGATATGTTTTGTAGGGATGGTATCTCTAGGGGATACTATATAACAGTTGATATAGCGAAGTTAATAAAAGTGAAAGTCAATAATAGAAGCCCAATCTGGTATCTATAGCTGGCATAAGTACCAATAGCCTAGCCCTTCCCAGTGAGAGTAAGTGAGAGTAAAGTGAGAGTAAAATGAAATGTTTGTAGAGCTGCAGAAGTACGTGATGTCATGTGTAAATTGGATATACCTACTTTGTTTTGAGGAGTTTTGTTCACCTCCTGACTATTCTATGTATCAGGGAAGGTGAACTTCGTGTCCGAGCTCTGGAATTCAATGAAATAAAACAAAAAGCCTCGGTCTATTAAACTTCAACAAAGTCTTTCCTATTCATCCATGAGTGACATGTGATATTATGGCGACGAGCTTCTTGGCCTTACTCTCACGTTTACGCCACAAGTACTCCCCCACATTACCAAACACGCAAATGATGGAGAGTGAGTCTTTATATTAGTTAGCACAACAGCTCGAAAAGGAGTACCGTCACGCTTAGCAGGTTTGTTCCTGTCTGGTGAGGTATCCGACATAACTTTGAGGATATGACAATATAGTGAGAAAGAAAACAAGAGTCACATTCTGTAAACTCCAGGGCTAGGTACGCCCAGCAAACCTTAGATTAGTCATGCAATACCCCCAGTCTCAATCTCCACGGGTGGATCTCCAGGGCCGGGGTGTGGATCTGAGCATTGGGCATCTGTTTGTGAGAAGATTTCCAAGCGTTCTAACAGACAGAATAGAAAATGAGTTAGAGATGCTGAATTTCAGGCTGCTATTGATACCTGTCAGGAGACAGCTGTCGTTGACAGGGGTCGACATATCCCTCGTCAATATCATATTTAGCAGTCGATTATAGTATTGGACTTGTATTCAAGCTATAACCGGCTAGAGTGGGGCTTTGATTTGAGATGGAGAGAATGAATATAAATTTCATTCCCAAGTTGATTACTATTTCCTTCCAGGTTATAGCCTGACTATTCAACCCAAGCAAAATAACGAGAACCGAAAAAGCAAGTGATGTGTTTGATATCTTGCTGCAGATTGCTTGGTCCCGCGTTATACCCTCAACAACTTGTAGAAAGAACAATCATGCTTTCACAGACGGATGCGTGTCTTCTGTCTCACTAGTGAGAGTCACATCGCTTTGCCAGCCTTTGAATGCCCGAGTCCGCAATCTCAGCGAGAACATGCGATCAATCTCCATCGCCGTTCGACCTTTCATCTCTGGGATACAGAACCACACTACACCGACTGCCACTGCGGCGAATCCTGCCATTACAAACCCTGTTTTCGCCCTCAGATTTCCTTGATCTGCGTTGTAGATGTATGGCAAGATGATGGCGAAAACCGCAGTTCCAAAGCCGCTCGTAAACCACCCAATACCCTGGGTCTTGGCTCGGAGTTGCAGTGAGGACGCTTCGGCGGCAACCACATGAGACGCAGGCCATGACCCAAGACCCGAGACCATAACAATAATCATCATGCTGACCGCTGTATACCTAGTACAGAGTTAGCCTATAGTCCTTAAGAGTTTGGTATAGTGTCTGACCATATAGTCACCACTCCTGTGAAGATCCCTGCGATTCCTACCGCGAACCACATTACCATAACAATAATCAAAGTGAGTAGAATGAGGAATCTTCTCCCGAAGGCATTTAGCGCCCATAGACTGACAACATTTGCAATCAGGCCTAGTCCAATGCCCAAAATCAAGAAAATCAAGCTATTAGCTGAACCCATACCCACAATCTGCATAAAGTAAGAGGAGTTTGCCAGCAGTTGCAGTCCGAACATCTGAGGTATAATGTTTGCAAATGCGACGATCAAAGTTCGGCGCATGTTGGGTCCTCTGAAACAATCGGCATATTTATGGGTTGCGCGTTCCTCATCCTCTGCTGCAATCGACGCCTGTAACTCCTCGATCACAGCAAGCGAGTTGATATGGGATGTATTAAGCTTTTTCTGTGCCTTGAGAGCCTCCGCTGTCCGTCCTCTTCTCAAAAGCCAGGTTGGACTTTCTGGCAAAAACGCCGCTAGAACAAACGGTATAGCCGAGAACGGCCATTGCGACGCAAAGCAAATCCGATATGACTCTGCGCCTGTATGCTTAAGGGAAGTATAAACCACGATCGATCCAACTAGTTGCCCAAGAAGCGTGAAGATTGGATAGAACGCGATGACCGGTCCTCTGAGAACAACAGGAAGTACCTCGGACATGTATGTCTGTGTAACACATAGAAGAATGCCAATACAGATTCCCTGGAAGAGTTTACCGGCGAAGAATACTCCTCGACGAGTGTCCATTTCGTCTGGTAGATCTGAAATATAGCATATCGCGACCGCAATGCTTGATAGGAAACTGCCTATAGCGAGCGTCATGCGACGCCCACGACGATCTTGATAGTAACCACCGATGATGGAGCCGAACATCAGGCCGATACAACTGGAGACGTTCCAAAGGGATAGCCACATTGTCGGAATGATGTATTTCTCTTCGTATTCCTGACCGAAAACGATTCTCACGCGTGTCAGTAGCGACGAACTTTGGATTTTGGGAGGGATTTCTCACTGAAATTGAGGCATCGCAGCCACCGTTGCTACAATGACAAGGTCATATCCATAGAGAAGAATTGCCGAGCTTAGTGCAAGGCAATAGCCCACGATTCTGGGGAATTTCTTGACCGACTGCCAGAGTGGTATGTGTAACGTTTTTTTGGTTGTATTGCCATCAACGACATTGTCCTTAAAGTCTTTAGTGGATTGTGTTTCAGTAAGATCCATAATGTATGAGACTCCGTAAGTGCTTTCAGTGATAATAAGGGGGGGGGGACCTCCTGTATTAAATTAGACCCCTAAAGAATGCTAGGACAAAGAAACCCATATACAACCTTAAAAGAGGGGAAGCATAAATGAAATCGCATAGCGCATGCAATAAAAACAACGAATTGAATAACTTGTTTTTGAGAAATTCTAAGCACTGACCTCAATGTGTCAACAAATAAGGGTAACTGGGTAGTTTCCCCCGCACTGCCAAGTTGGCCCTTTACGGGGGAGCCCTGAAAGGTTGCCACTGGGGTAATCCCTGGCTTTCCGCTCATGTGCTCGTGTTCGTATATACACCCCCAGAATTATACATCGTCACATTTTGCTTCACATAAACATAAATATTAATATTATAACCTAGGACGCTTCTATATGACTATAGGGCTAATTCACAACACTGAATGTGATCACCCGTTTTTTATTGAAGAGAGTTCCTCGTCTCAGGGACCTTTGATATAATGAGTATTGGGATTTTACAATTGATCGGGCCTGAGCCAACTAGTTGAAGGGAATCATGGAGAAGAGGCCGAAACATGCGTTATTATGTCTTATGTCGACCCGTGCAGTTCAAACAGCCCGGAAAGAATTAGGCCGGCTTGCCCCAGCCTGGATATGCAGACCACCTCTGAATAGTTACCAGAGGTAACCTCCATTTGACCACTAATATGAAGCCCCCTAACTCTGTGCCTTGCATTAATACTGTGAATCTGAAACAAATATAAGGCATGGTAAGCTACATGTAGTGAAATAAGCAAGAGAGTTCAGCGAATCAGATATTGGCCTAGAAGCTGGCAATTAATTGTTTGGATGTATTCATCTTCGTGATTGAGACCCTCCATTGAAATGCATTTAAAAGGAAGTTCCCAGAAAACTTTTGTATGAATTGAATATGCGAACTACTTCCTTTTGATTTTAGTTTTCTTTGTTATGACCTATCATAGATCTGAGTTCAGTCGAGTCAGACCTGGATCGTGCGTCCTTCATTTTCTCTAGCTCCTCCAGATGTTGTTTCAATGCAGAAATCTCACGTGCCAGCTCAGCGGACGAAGCGAGTCGATATTTGAGCCTCATAACCGCAGCTGAAATTACAAGTAGTGCCAGAGACGTAGGGTACGCCCACTGACCAACCTGGCTCGGACTTTCCCCAGGGGGTCCGTCTTTGTAGATTTGGATCTCGATCCAAATGACAAAGGCAATGATGGTAAAGGGGCTGACTATCATGCTAAATAGTAGCCCAAAAAGGATCGCAGCATCAACAATCACATGAAGAAACGACCTGAGGAACTGACGGCTGAATATGTGTCGCATTCGGCGTCGGAAAGCGGTATACTTGTTTATCGGCCTTGGATCATCCTCGTCACAATCAAGGTTGTCTGGTAACTTTATCGCATCCCTAATCTCGTCTTTGAAGCTTTTCCACATGGTCTTTCGTTCTTTCCAGATTACCATGATCTGCGCTGACGGGATGCGTGATCGATAAGGTAGGAAACGGTAAGTCAGGAGGAGGCAATTGAGAATCAGACAGAGAATGATGAGACTGTAGATGTATCTATGCGAGTAAAGAACCTTTTCCCAGAAGCTATGGGAAGAGCCAAATTTGAAGTGTCCGTCTGCAATGGCTGAATGCAATGAGCTTGGCTGTCGTAGAATTTGGGTTGTATTAAAACAGGGATTGAAGCAGATATCTCCAATTTGATTCCATCGCGATATGTTTGAAAAGGTGTCCCACACACTGTCATTCCATGTGGATGTTCTCCATGAGGCTTGCCAGCCGTCATTTGATGTATCGTCGAAAGGCGCGAGCTCAGGAAAGCAAAACATGTACTGACGTGATGTCTTGGGTACTCTTGCAGCATAGATAAGGGCGCATATAGAACCAGCCAACATGAGGGCATGCCAGAGATAGAAGAGTAGATTCCGTGCTCGATCGTGGGTTAGGATGCGGGACCAACATTGCAGGGGCAAAAAGACGAGATAACCAGTGACAACGATGGCAAGAACAGCATCCGAGTCAAGCTCAAGTGATGCGGGCGACACCATAACATGATCTGTCTCAGTGACCAAATAAGGGAATTCTTCCCGCAAGCTAGAGTTGGTGGACAGATATGGAATAGCGACAGGTCCAGGGTCTTGGGGTGTTTGGTGGCTAGAAACCATGATGAAGGCGTGAATTGCCGCAGTTCCGGCGTATGTCGCGGCAGTTCCTAAGAATACGTTCATGACCCATCCTGTCCATCGAGTGACACAGGTCGCCAGCATAAGCGCATAGAAGAGATATCGTGGACATGTGTTGTAGATTGTACTGATTGGATAGAAGCAGAGAGTTTCTTGGGCAATGAACAATGGGGAACTCGTGTTGTTATCCATTTGAGAAATGAAGGAGAAGAATTTTGTGATAAAATTCCATTTTGTGGCTTTTCCCGCTTTACTTCCAGGCTGCCTTTTTTTTTTTCTCTCCCTTTTTTTATGTTACTTTTCCGTTGACATCATCCCTACATTATTAAACTTTCCCTCATTTTATCTTCAACCTGCCAGGATCTTATATAAAAGAGAAAGTAGAACATAATGATATTTGGCGACGCATTACACAGAGCAGAAATAGCGCTAGCTTGTCAATGTATGCCATGACATATTAGGCATCGGAATAAAACAACCACTCGATGTATTTCTTCATCTCCCTCCAATCACATAAAATCTACCATTTCCGAACCCTCTAGTGCTTCCAATTAGAAATATGACCATGGTAACTCATTTCTTCCTGTTGATCTCGTCCACAATAAACATTACGAGTCTCACAATAGGACCACCCTGACGCTTTGGTCTTTTCTCACGCGTCTGTCCCATCAAACGGCCGCTCTCAAGCTCCACCGAATCTTCTTGCTGGCTGTAGACACTAGGCTGCGGGGTGTAATCCGCAGGTGGCCGTACTTGGAGTGTAAGGCCAATACCCAAGCACACAAGAACAACCACAAACTCTTCGATGACGGACATCACAAGCTGAATTGTGACATTCCCGGACACCATATTGAATTTGGCATTCCGGCCAAAGGTATAGATGAAAGAGTAGATTAATCGCACGAGGATTAAGGGGAGAGATACTCCCACGGCTAGGAGGATGCGATGTTCTCCATCTTCGATACTTTGACTTCGTTTCAAAACCAGGAGGAAGAGTCCGCATACACCAACCCAGGCGACAAGGTAGAAGATGAGTCCGAGTTTTGTTTTTATGTTGACAAGGCCATGGGTAATATCGGAGTTCCCGGTTACTCCAACGATGCTCAGAATCACAGCAACTAGTGCAAATAGTCCAACAAGCCGGAAGATTATCGGAGGGAGAGGTTTGGCAGTCTTTCGCATAATAGAATCATTCCTAGAGATGTCGTTAGCTGCAAATCATCAAGTCAATCAGGAATAATGGTGTTGCTCACGCTCGTGATAAAAGACCAATGCAAGCTAAGATTAATGGCGATAGTCCGAGTGAAGTACAAACAGCCCATACAATGTATAGATTGACATTGGAAGGATATTGAATCGTGGCCAAATAGCACGCTGAACCAACAATGCGGGCAAGACAAAAGAGGATGAAAAAGAACCAACCCGAGCTCTTTTTGAAACCATGGTGGAATGCCATCCACAGAGCAATGAAGAGGGTTGGAGAATAAACAATGACCTCCAATATAGATATACCATGCCGATAATCGATGGCCATAATCGCAGATGAGAATGGAGAGTGCTGAAATCGAGATGACAGAAAATGGATTGATGCTTGTATTACCTTCGACTCATGGGAACTCTGTTATTTAACTCCTCAGATGTGATTTCAGCTCGCGCTGCTTTCCTATTCAACTCCATGAGGCAGCGCAATAAAAATTTGGATTTCATAGCCACGCGCCCTATAAGTATAAGAGCTGTGGATATTCCACTTTCAGATATGATTAGCCAATCACGGCTGTCTCAAAGCACATATTGCATACTTGATTCGGCTTAGCGTATTGGGCTGCGACCCAAATAGGTATGAAGGTGGTCAGGCTAAGCCTCTCGCAACGCCACGGACCCATTGCTTGATGGGCAGTCTGACAGTCTGACTGTATCGCTTCTTGTATGGCCGTCGAGATCCCACAACAGGATCTGTCGAATTTGATGCGTTTGCTTTTCTTAGTCCTCATAGGGGGGCTTCTTCCCGAGAATTTCTTTAAATTTTCCTTCTCAGGCGTCCTGGCGCTGTGACTTGTCATTGCGAGGTTTTACTATGGTCGCAGTATCTCCGCCATCGCCGAAATCGTAGGGCGACATTCTGTCTCGGTCAGAAACCTTTAGCAATGGAAAATTGTCGCATTGCGATCCGGCTCCATATGAAGGTTTTGGATTTTCCTCGTCCTGATATGGGAATAAGTCGCAAAATTTGGGATCGGACGTGATATGTCCCAAAATGTGAGTGTACAACATAGTGAGGTGACTGCGTCGGTGTGGGTCCCTGAAAGGCTGAGATATAGCTCATTACACTTCAGCGGGCGAGAAAGAGAAGGGGAAGGGAAAATATCATACTACCTACACATCAGTCAGAGCTAGCTAGCTAATTATGTCTGGTGCTTGAATGATAAGGCAGGGCCAAACAATTTCAATTACGGAATACTCCGTACTCCGTGCCCGTTTCCGACTAGATACAGTAAGCCCCGAGAGTCGCTAAACAAAGTAATTCGAGAAAAGCCGCAAAATTTGTCAAAAGTGTGTGACCAAGCTGGTCTTGAAATATCACAAGGGGAAAAAGTGGACTGAGATACAACTTCATAGATCAGATAGAGCCTTTGACTAGATGATAGATATCCATCCACCTTGGTCAACCTGAACTTGATAGCGTATGCCGAGGTCAAAATAGGGGGATCAGCATTGTTTTACGGCAATTTGGGCAATTTTCTTCAACCTGCCAACCCATGTGTCGAGCACCGGCATTTCCCCGTGAAGGATTTCCCCGCTCCCGGTTATACGGTAGAATAACCGTTGATCGACATCCTATAAAGACTAAGATCATCCATTTCATGCTCGTTTTTGGGGTGCTAGTATATAGGATTTCTACCGTCTTTCGTATTCCCGTCGTAAAAGGCCGCTTTCTATGTAGATCATCTCACGTTCAGGAAGGAATAAATACATATGCGCTTGATTTCAAGTTTATATAGCTCTTATTGTCAGAATCGATTCAATTTCTCATCTTATTTGCCGTTTTGTCAAGATTTAGCATACCAATCATGCTGTCGTTCGCCCTGGCCCTAGCTGGCATTTTGGGGCCTGTTGGTTCATTGGCAACCGATCCCGGCCCAGTAGCTTGTGCAAATATAACATCGCAACTGGGATCGTCCAAAGTCATCACCAACAAACTCGACTTGAAGTATATTGCTAGCACCGAGTATTGGAGCACGCCCCAGAACGCTTACAAACCATCCTGTATCGTCTATCCTTCATCTTCGGGGGATGTTTCTGCGGCCCTTCAGGCCATTCGAGCAGCCGGCAGCCGGTTTGCAGTAAGAGGAGGAGGACACAATCCCAATAAGTTTTTCTCGTCAACCGATGAAGGCGTGCTCATTAACATGAGCAACCTGTCGGAAAAATCGTATGATCCAGACACCACTCTGGCAACATACGGACCAGGTGGTGTATTTGGCGACATATACGAGTACTTTGAGCAATATAACCGAACGGTGGTTGGAGCACGACTCTCCGGGGTGGGAACCGGCCTCGCTCTGGGTGGTGGCATGAGCTATCTGTCTCCCCAATATGGCATGGCCTGTGATTCATTCAGAGAGCTGGAAATTGTTCTTCCTGATGGTCAAATCGTGACAGCATCCGAAACTTCAAACCCTGACCTGTTCTTTGCCTCGCGTGGCGGCGGAGGCAATGCCTATGGCGTTGTAACGAAGTATACGGTTCAAAGTCGCCCTATTGGTCAATTCTTTGCGGGAAATATCATTTACGCCTTTCCCCAAAAAGATACGGTTGTTGAAGCAATTGGCAATTTCATCCAATACAACACCGACCCGAAGGCCAGCATTATCGGTACCTACGAGAAGCTGCCCACACCCGATTTGAATCTGAACCTGGATGAGGCCATTGTCATGTTCTTAGTCTATGATGGCCCTGACGCAGGTGATGTGTTTGCAAACTTCACGAGCATTCCACATCTCCTCGACACTACTGGTCTCAAGACCTACCCCGAGGTAGTCGACATGCCACTTCCAATCGCCAGCGAGATTTCACGCGGGAACAACATCTTCCGTGTTGGAGTCCATCGTGCGGATAACAATGAGTGTAAGCATGCTCTGGATGTATGGCGGGACTGGGGCGAGTCAAACAAGGGCAAATATCTACTCCTTTCGCTCGATTTCCAACCTGTTCCCAAAAGCTTGACAGACGCCAGCAAGGCGCAGGGTGGAAACGCAATGGATATGCCTGACGGTCCATGGTTCTGGTTAAATTATTTGATCACAACGCTGCCGGGAATGAGTCAATCTAACTATGATGCCGTGCAGTCTAGCTTCCGTGATATGGTTGAGTCGACAACCAATGCCGAAGGTCTCCCGCTGTTCATTAATGATGCAAACTATGATCAGCATCCTCTGTCGACCTTCTCTACATATGAGAAATTGCAAAAGATCAAGAAGAAGTATGATCCGGATAACTTCTTCGCTGACAAGACGGGGGGTTGGTCATTTGACTAGAGAAAGTGGGCTTAGTACTGGTGATCTTGCTGATGCTTTATGGGTGTACTATTTCAACCCTGGAAAAACTTGTTTATAGCCATAGTAATATAAATCGAGAGAAAATGCTTAATTCAGTGTTTGTAATAGTTCCAATACTACCGTGATCTCATTCCCTCACCTCTGCAGAAATCAGCAGAAAATATGGACGATGTCCCTCACCTTTCCATTCTGGTTTACCTGCGGCATCCTCCTCTGAAAGACACCAATCCTTCAACCCGGTCAACACAAATCCGTTCTCAAGCAAGGCAGTGACGTAGGTCTCAACAGTGCGATGATATTTCCTCACTCCCTCTGAGCCCAGCCAACTACTCAAACGCAGGCCCTCGCTTCTGTAAGAATTCAATGGCCACACCATCCGATCTTCACCTGCATCCCGTATAACCTTGAAGTCCGGTCCTGGATGGATTGGGGCCGTTACAATGGGGTGTTCAACAGAGAATATCAACCTCCCCCTTGGCTCATGACCACTACTCTTTTTCAAGCAGCGGTGGATTTCTCGAAACAGCCTCACGATATCCTCGATGTAATGGAAGGCCAGGGAACTGTAAACAATATCATACGGCTCTTGTTCACGCTGAGGACTCAAATCTATAGTCTCCAGATCTTGGATTTCGAAGGTTACTTCTGTTGCATTTCTCGTTTGGTGATTGATCTCAGCCTCAAACTCCTTTGCTCGGTTGATCATGTTTTGGGAAATATCGATTCCCTTGATGTAACTAGCGCCTTTCTCACGGGCCCAGCGGATAAACCACCCATAACCACATCCTAGGTCGAGAATCCGACATCCTTTCAAAGGAGTTTCTGATGGTCCTGTGAGGGAGGAGCTCGGGTTGAGGATCATATGCTCCAGGACAGGCCATTCTGGTGCGGCACGCAGCCCGTGTTGAGATCGAGGGAGGTTTCCGTACGCGACAAAGAACTCTGGGGTGTCGTAAATATTTTGGGATTCGACCGGCATGGTTGCGAGGTTAAGATCGGTAGGTCGCTGACGCTCCTTCTTAGTTGATTGCTGATGAATGACAGTAACAAAAGCTGGTAGAAAGACCAACCCTCGAATGAAGCAAACACTCGCAAATATCACTCCGATGGTGTTAGAAAGACTTACATTACGGAGACTACAGAGTTGGCGGGGTTTCCCGCTCTGTATATTTCTCGATTCGGTCCCCGCTCTATCAAGGTTTTCGCAGTGCATATCCAATTCCGAGTAATCAAATTATCCATCCCAGGTTCTAAATCATTTTCTCTTGCTACTAATATACTCTTTTGAGGACCTCCAGATACCCCTCGCACCGATCGCAATATCCTGCCGTCCATCATACAGTGGGAAAATCACAACCGCCCCAAATGCAGCGAACTGCCAGACGATGCCGACAACTACCCAGCCCGCGAAGAATGATCTCGTGAATATATAGTCGCGATATAGTGGAAGAGGCCAAGCAACAAACGTGATCAGCACGATAGCTCCGAACATGTACCAAGCAATCTTGAGCCATCTGTACAGCTCTTTTAACGTCGCATCATCGAATGGGTGCTGGATTTCATCGAGGCTAATCTCCACGGAAGGCGGCGATGGAGCTTTGTTCTTTTCACTGATGTTAACCTGCTCTGGATCGTTGTTGATGCTTTCTGGTTGGCGATCAACAACCGGCTTGACAGATCCAGTGGCATTCTTCAAACCACCTGCGTGCTCTTCCTCACTGCTCTCGTTTAATGTGCTTGTGTCCGAGGACGGCTGGACTTGTGCTTGATCTGCGAGCTCAATTCGAAGGAATACCCTCCAGTCAAACTTATAAGGCTTGTAGAGTGAGAGGACAACAGAATATAGAGCTGGCGTAAAGAAAGAAGCGATGGCCGCATATAGTGCAGGATAGGGATTTGTAGTGGTCGTTATGTTGATAGTGCCATACATATATTTGGTTGTTGCCAACCAGACAGCGAGACCTGAAAAGAAGCCAAGCACGGGAGAGATAATTGCAGCTATCCGAGTCTGCCGAGACCAGAACAAAGTGAGAATCATAGGAATAATTCCTGGGCATGAGATAATGGGTCTCAAGTATCCAATCCATGTCATGTTTGCTCCTCCATAGTTGAGAGCGATGGAAATTCCGGTGATAAAGACACCATGGATAATCACAGTCAAGTGGCTCACTCCCACAATTTGCTTGTCAGTGGCTTTTGGGTTGAGATATGTCTTATAGATGTCGTAAGACAAGATGCTACTGACAGCAATCATTGAAGAAGAAACAGTACTTGTCAAAGCCATGAATAAAAGGAAGAAGAATCCGATTATTCCTTTGTCTCCGATGAGTGCTTTGATAGTGTATGGCATCACCATGCCCGAGCTGACTTCGGTGGCAGTCAGTATACCAGGATAGGTCGGAAAGATAGGTGTATCATGAATGGCCCTCGTTGCCAAACCGATGACTGTGCCCAGGCCCCAGGGGATACCGAAAACAGCTAACGCAGCTATATTATATCCTGGTACTGTTGCCTTGACCTCGGTTGCGAAGGACTTTTGCCAAAATGCGGTATCCTGCCGATGACATATTAGCTTTGTGAAAACATAAGACCTTTTAGATATCTTTCAATATCACTTTGTGCATGTGGAATTGACTTACCATAACGACAAGTGCCAGGTTTCCGAACTTGAGGATCAACCCCCAAATAATTGCATCCTTGGACTTGAATGTAAGAAGTGAACCTTCATAGTTGCCGGGTATGTAATTATCCCTAGCCGTTGCAATAACTTTATCATACAAGCCACCCAGGCCACCGACAGCCGAATTTGTCAAGACGGCGATCGTGAAGTAGATGATAAGAATGAGGGCAATAGCTGTGTGCAAAAAGTCGGTCAAGAATGTGGCCTTCAGGCCACCGACTGCTGTATAGAGTACAACTATCAAGAAGTTAGCTTCTGTTTCCCAAGACATTTTGAAAAGAGAAATTGAACGAACCTCCGAGGGGAACTAGAATAGTTGCTGCTACATAGTGCATGCCAGAAACACCATGAATGAGCTGAGAGCCCGTCATAATCATCGAAGCGCAGCCAAATACGTTGTTGACGAGGTTCAACACGATAAACACGAGATGTCCAATCCTGCCATAGCGCATCCGAACGACTTCAAGCGATGTATGAGCATAAGGGACTCGAATCTTGGCCATAACACCCAGTGCTGCCATTAGTGCAATTTGGAAGCATAGACCAGATCCCCACCACTATGACCTGTCAGTCGTGCAAGGTTATTTGATAGGACAAGGCAACGTACCAGCGGCACTGCAAGACCGTACCGATATGTCATAGCCGCGCATAATACTGTCTCGTTGATCCACATCCAGGAGCTAAAAACTGCGGATGCACACAATCCTCTCCCTACGGAGCGATTGGCGACCATGAACATTTCAGACTTTCCAGAATCTTCAGCAAGGTACGCTTTCTGTACCTTGACGGCAATCAAAATGACACCGCAGAACAAAACGCTGAGACCAATGAGAAGGCCGTAGGCCGCCCCCTGAGGGATCAAAGCCAACTTGGACGTATCTACTGTGTTAGACATGTCTGGGCAAAGTAAAGCCAAGCTCAAAAGCGCAGGGCCGAGGAATATTTATTGTCTGCAGGGTCCATCATATCTTCAATGCCAAGCTTGGATTTTGTAGATCTACAGCCAATTAACGTTCTCTGGGGGATTGCGTAACAATCAGAGTTGCCATGTGGGCGATATTTCTTACGTCGTCCATGTCCGCGATTGCGTTATGCGGAATAAGTGGGAGAGATGCGGCTAAACGGTCCGGAAACAGGGCCATTGGAAGATCGAAACAAAGCTAACAAGGTCAACATGTGTTATTTGCGGAATATATGTTAGTGTGACGGGGATTGTGGTTGGGATTGCGTGCCTGGATTCCCAGATTGCGATAAAACGACCTGGGATCGCGAGCGACAGGGGTCACTGCGTACCCCACACAAGAGCCTAATATGTCGGCCGATATGGGATTCAAAATATACAGAGAAAATGTCGAATATCGATTACGAATGGGAGATAGTAAGCCTCCAATGACCCCGGAGTCCAGGGCTGATACGATGGTGACACCTCTTGGCGAATACTTCTGCCCACTAGTTACGTATAGAAAGCTGTTCCTGTTGCTCAAGACTAAGTACTCATAACTCAGTTACTCTTCAAATCCACTGCATGTTCAAAGCATTCTAGCTTAAAATGGGTGAAGATAAACCAAACTCCGGCAAAAAGCAGATCATTCTCAATGCTTTCGTCATGAATACCCCGGGCCATTTGGCACCTGGACTATGGAAACACCCTAGGAACAAGACCGACCAGTACAAAAACCTCTCGTTCTGGACCGATCTAGCTCAGCTGCTCGATAAAGCTGGTTTCCATGCGATGTTCATTGCGGACACTCTGGGCGCATATGATGTGTATAAGGGCCCTAGTAATGTTGTGCCCGCGTTGGCGTCAGGCGCACAATTCCCCGTCAATGACCCATTATACCTCGTTCCTGCCATGTCAGCTGTCACAAAAAACCTCATTTTTGGAGTAACCGCCAGCGTGACATATGAGAAACCGTACGCGCTCGCACGCCGACTCTCTACCGTGGACCACCTCAGCCAGGGTCGTCTGGCATGGAATATTGTCACGTCTTATCTGGACAGCGCAGCCCGAAACCATGGGTTGAATGAGCAGATTCCTCACTACGAGCGATACACAATAGCAGATGAATATCTCGAGGTTCTCTACAAGCTCTGGGAAGGAAGTTTCCGAGATGACGCCGTGCTCGCCGACCGACAGCTCGGAACATACATTGCTAGCGATGGTGTGCGAGAGATAAACCACAAAGGGAAATACTTCGATGTTCCCGGGCCTCATTTCTGCGAGCCATCGCCCCAGCGTACGCCATTTCTTTTCCAAGCGGGCGTGTCTGAGGCTGGTGGCCAATTCGGCGGAAAGCACGGCGAGGCAATCTTCATCGGTGGTCAAACTCCTGAGGGTACTCGCTTGACGGTGGATAATATACGGAACATTGCCAAAGAGCAAGGTCGTGACCCCAATCATATCAAAGTCATCGTGGGGATCAATGTGATCGTCGCAGCGACAAATGAAGAAGCGAAGGCAAAGCGGGAGGAATATCTCCAATATGCCGATAACGAAGGTGCACTCGCTTTGTTCGGTGGATGGACCGGAATTGACCTGTCAAGCCACGCCGATGATGAAGATTTCCGGTTCAGCGAGTCCACACGGGTTCAATCCATCGTTCGGAGATGGTCTGCTACCGTGCCAGGCACGGATAACTTGCCTTGGACAAAGCGGAGGATTGTGGAGTACATCAGTGTGGGTGGACTACAGGCCAAGGTTGTTGGTAGTCCCACGACAGTTGCAGATGAGTTGGAAAGATGGATGGAGATCTCCGACGTGGATGGCTTCAATCTTGCCCATATTGTGAATCCTGGGACTTTTGAAGATATCATCGAGTTCTTATTGCCCGAACTGCGACGTAGAGGGATATTCCGAGAGGAGATCGAGAAAGAAGGTGCCACAGCTCGCGAAGTGTTTATTGGATCGCAGCGTTTGCCAGAAGATCATCCCGGGAGCAAGTACAAGTGGCGGGCGGGGGAAACCATTCCTCGGTATCAGACCAAGGAGAACTAGATATAGCCATTCTTGTTTTATCTACCTGCATGTACAAGGGTAATGGTCAAGACGTTAACAAGTGTAGAGGGGTCGGGGATAAGATAATTATGCCCGGGGCCCTGCAGGTAGCCCCGGGGAGTTCCTAAAGGAGGCCCCCGGAGCATTACAAATCAAATCAATATACCTACCTAACCTTGGAATATAACCTTACCTTTGGAATATAAATCTGATCTGCTTGAATTCTACCATCAAGGACCAAAATTCCAAAATGAAAGAAGCCATTATTGACAAGACCGTCTCGGTCATCATCCGCAACGTTGACATCCCCAATCCTCAACCTGGGCAAGTTCTCATCCGAGTAGTGGTGTCAGGTACCAACCCAAAGGACTGGAAACGCCCCAAAAAGCAACCAGGAAATGCTGCCATAAATCAGGGAGACGATATTGCCGGGTATGTGGAGGCAGTGGGAGATGGAGTCCAGAACTTCCGTAAGGGAGACAAAGTGGCCGCTTTCCATGAGATGGGTAGCCCGCATGGAAGTTATGGCGAATACGCCATTGCATGGGAATACACAACATTCCATCTTACGGAGAAAACTAGCTTTGAAGGTATGTCCCTGGCGTTCTAGTTACCGCGGGGATAAACTAAACATATTGACTAGAGGCTGCTACTATCCCTCTCGCTGCAATGACAGCTGCATTGGGCCTATATCAACAGCTGAAACTTCCTCTGCCTTGGGCTCCCGCCGATAAACCCACTCCGCTGGTTGTATATGGCGGTGCCTCGGCGGTTGGCGCATTTGCGATCAAGTTCGCTCAGCTATCGAACATTCACCCTATCATCGCAGTCGCAGGCAAAGGCGCTCCCTTTGTTGAGACTTTGATCAACAGAGAGAAGGGTGACACGATCGTTGATTATCGCGAAGGCGACGACTTTATCTACTCGGGAATCCGGGCTACAAGCAAGGGTGTACCCATTCAGCATGCCTACGATGCCGTGTCTGAGAAGGGAAGCTATGATAATCTTGGTGCTGTTCTCGATAAGCCTGGGAAGATCACTGTCGTTTTACCCGCCGAACTCCAGACACCACAGGAGCAAATTACCATCCATCGGACTATGGTTGGGTCTGTTCATACGCCCCCTACTGAGGGCCAGGCTCTTGGTGATAATGAGTTTGCGGCTGCTCTTTTCCAATTCATTGGTCGAGGTCTGGCACAGGGTTGGTTCTCGGGTCATCCATATGAAGTGAGAAAAGGTGGACTAGGAGGTCTCGAGGGTGCATTGAAAGATCTGGAAGCTGGCAAGGCATCTGCGGTGAAATATGTGATTAAGATTGCTGAAACTGAGGGAGTCGAGCAGTAGTTGTAGAGCCATGAAAATGCTACAAACTGTATGCCAAGCCAGATCGGGATGTATAGATCGTATAGATCGGGATTGGAATGACATCACCATAAATTCTCCAAGTCGCGCGGCGCGTAGACATATTGTCTTAATTCCAATTACATAGTCCCATCACCTTCACCTTCCAATCCCACAATGGCAAAACGCACTCTTGATGCATTCTTCAAACCATCAACCACCCCTCCAAAACGTCACAAACCCGAACCAGCCGAGTCCAACAACCCAGAGACAAACAATGTCCCAATAGAAGACACCAAACCCCCAAGCCAACACCCAAGCTACCCAATCCCAATCGCCCAACTCCCCTCCCACATCGAAGCAGGCCTAGAACATTCAACACCAGCAAGCACACCCCGCGAAATAAACAACCAACCACACCTCGACCTCCTCCACTTCCAGCCATACATCCCCCGCCCAACAGCAAACGAGCTATTCAAATTCCTCCGCCGCGAACTCCCCTTTTACCGTGTCCAATACACAGCCCGACGCGGCGACACCGAAACACAAATCACCACACCGCGCTGGACAACCGTCTTCGGCGTCGATGAAACATCAACATTCACCCAAGACAATTCAAACAACCTCGCTCTACTAGAAACAAAGACCAATACCCCAATCCCGAAAACAAAATACCAATGCACGCCACGCCCAATACCAGCTTGTCTGGATCTCCTACGGAAACAGGTCGAAGCAGTAGATAATAAAACCGGCTACAATTTCTGCTTGGTAAATTACTACGCCGGAGGAGACGACAGCATCGCATTCCACTCTGATGACGAGCGTTTCCTCGGCCCGGAGCCGAATATCGCCTCGCTGTCGCTAGGCGGCGAGCGGGATTTTCTAATGAAGCATAAACCATTGGCTGGGGGGAATGTCAACCAAACGGGTAGATGCGTCCCTGCACATGAAATGACCGGGCCGGATGGTACCGGTGTGACGCGGGCGAGTCGTACAGTTTCGGGTGGGACGTCGAGTACGTTGTCTGGGTCCAAAGTTGCTACGGTGCCACAGCAGATTAAGATGAAGCTTGGGTCAGGCGATATGGTTATTATGCGTGGGACGACGCAGTCGAATTGGTTGCATAGTATTCCTAAACGGAAGGGGAAAGCTGGGGAGGCGATGAAGGGACGGATTAATATTACTTTTCGGCGGGCTGTTGTTCCTGGTGGGACGAACAATTATTATCATTATAATGTTGGGAGTGGGGGAATGTATCGGTGGGATGAGGTAGCGAGGGAGATGGTTCTACAAGACGGGAAGGTAGAGAGAGCTACACAGTAGCCTGTGTATGGTGGAACAGGAATAAGATTTGGGTCAAATAAAATATACATGTGTGCCGTAGCACGAAAGGAACGCCTCATGCTCTTGAGTTGCGACTCGAAGCGAGACAGGTGATATCACTGTGATAGCTCGGCACATTTGAGCCTTTGTACATTTGCTTCTGGAAGGAAAAAAAAAAAAAATAGACATCGAAGCAGGTCATCATATGGCATTGGCACTGTGTCTTCCCAGTAGCCATGGTATTCCCCCTCAGGGAGTTCCGGCAAGTGCCGGGTAATAAAGGTATTCTGGCTGAAATACAAGAGAGCTACCAGCCCTTGTAAGCTAAGAGAAATGACTTGAAATCAGTAGTTAAAGATGACTTCTTCGCCGTAGACATCGCCATAGCACTGGAACAAATCAGGGCAGCTGCAAACATGTTAGCGGAGAAATAATACAATTGCAGGAAAACTTACAAGACAGGCTCCTTGCCGAAAATAATGTGCCACGAGTACTCCATAATGTTCGAGGTAGCCTCATCTGGCAGGTTATTGTTCATCACCCAGTCGTACATACGCTGGTAATCGCTGTGGGGGCGTCGGAGAATCTGGTCTCGGGAAACAGCAAACTGAGAGCAGCACGGGGCGGCGACTTCGCGAGGAACCGGCGTATTAGGGAATAGCTCTTTCCACGCAGCAGCGTAATGTGCCTCGCCTGGACTTTCGAGATTCGGAGGTTGGCGGAAAGGTTGGATGGCGGAGGGGCATCCTGGGCTCAATTGGCAACGCAAATTGACAAAGCCTGCCTGTTGCACGAAATCTTTCTGCAATGCGCGCACCGAGTCCACATTGCTGTAATCCATGGTGTCGATGTGCCAGCCAGCGATCACACCGTCGCGGTGGCTGTGGAGGAAGACCACAACCTCGGGAAGGTCGTCGTAGTGGTCGATTATGTATTGCAGGTAGGGGAGAGCCTCGCGACCCTTGTTCTTTGGGGTGTGCATCGGGACATTGACATCGTCGACGGTGTAAATGACACTGCGCCATCTGGAGAAATATTCAATTAGGCTTTCTCCTTTTGAGAACATGATAGAGCTACACTCACTCTGCTAGCTCTGCCGCGACCCAGACGGTATCTTCCTCCTTGCGCTTGCCCATAACAATGACACCTTGGTTAGGGACCGTAATATCAGTGGTCTGGTAAAGCAAAGCGGGTTTATTGTCCGATGCAACCCGCCATTTCCGTTGAGATCCCGTGTCTGGTTTGGGCTTTGTTCTGATGGATGTGCGGAAGGAGCCGGTATCGAAGTGCCATATATCCTGAATTGATTCACCCTTCGTCTTCATATTCCGGTTGACCAGGACGAGAGTCAAGATGATGAGTGCCGCAGCGGCACCGATACGGATTGACAACCTCATCGCATAACGCGATTCTCAAAACTGAGGGAAAAAAAGAGGGTATTCGGGGGTGAGTGGGGAGATAGGAGAAAGAGAAGAGGCCAGTGTCTCAGAATACGCAATCTTAGGAAAGTAATAAGCAACGCCCCATGCGGAGGCCGGGGGATCAAACACACTCGCGACAGGTCTGAACGCGAGATGACGAAAGTGCCGAATCAAGGGATATGGACTTCGAGAAGGAATGGAATTGAAAGAGACCCAAATGGTCCTTTTTCTCGGAGAAGGGTTAAAATTAAGAAGAAAAAAAAGGACAAATCCGAGTTGGCGCTTTCCTTATTTGGGTGAAGTGGAGAGTCTATTTCTGATCCATTCTCGACCAATTTAAGCCAAATTGGGTGATTTTGGAGGTCAATGAGTGATTTGGGATAATCTGATTGGTCAAGTTTAAACTTCTTGGCCTATCGGCCAATCTTAGTTTTATCTTTTTTTTAATCTTTTTTTTTAATATTTAATTTGAATTATTCAGGGGGGTAAATAACTTACAACTTTACATGTAATAACTCCAGACCTCGGGAATTTTAAAAAGATCAACCTTTGATCCACCAGTTGATTTCCTAAATTTCTCTCGAGACACTATACATGATACATATCCTATGCAAGGAGATAACCCTCCCGTGTTTGGACTGCAGATCAAATTTTTTTTTTCATTGCCAAAAAAAAATACTAAACGGGTATGACCAACGCCAACAGTTCGAGTCCAAAAACCTGAGACAATCAGCCCAAAAATAAATCTAGGCAGCCAAGATTAAAGCATCAAAAACATCAACGCATCGGCAAAATATTCACATCAAACTCCTCCGAATCAGGCGCCAGCCGACCAACCACACGCCGTATACTAGGTAAAACTGCTAACGTCCCTCTCTCAATAGTCCAATGTTGTTCCGCAAGATGTGCCATAAAGGTATCTAGATTCCCATAAACCTGTGTTGACCCATGTGCCGTTGCACAGCAAAACACACAGCAAAACGCCCCGCGGGGAGTATTAGGAGCAAAATGCGACGCTGCGTCCCGCTTACAGTGCACGTGTGATTTAGCTAAGAACCCAAATCGATACCGGACACCGCTAGCTTGATGCGTGCGGACCCTTCCCTCGAACTGCGGATTGCGGCTAGAGCTATTAGGGACCATGGGTGCTTCAAACGCGCAATGAGCACACCGCAGCCACGACTGTTGCGTGTAATAGCCTGTTCCGGGCTCGGTGTAGATTCTGAATCCCCGGAATCCAGTGTGTACTTTCCAAGCACCTTTGCAGAAGCCCAGATAGTTGTTCGATTTGCTGGGTGGCCAACGAGGTCGGGTTGCTTCGGCGGATCGGTCGGTGCTGCTTTGAGTGGAGGGGTTTGATGGGGTTGAGTCCGTGGAGGCGGTTGAGGCTGCGGAGAAGGAACCTTGGCGGGGTTCCTTTGATGGGGACGTGGGTGAGAGGTATGATCTTTCTTCTTCTTTGATCTGTGCATGGCTGAGGGCGTCCTCGGAATCGGAATCGGAGTCCTTCCACGGGTTCCCCGAAACGACGTCGTGGGGTATTGAGTTTAATTGCAACGTGCGTCTATGCGGCGTGGCTGGTCTGACATCGAGTTCCGGAATCGGGTCTGATGTCGACGACACTGGACTGTATACCCTAGGCGGTGGGATGTACCCGGGCTCGGGCGCTGACGATGCGAACGATGGCATACTCGAGCGAGCTGGGCGGGAATGGAACAGCTCGCCCATACTACTCACAAACCACGAGGATCTTCTGCTCGGTCGTGGATTCGTAGCTGGATACTCTCTCGATGACCCCGGTATTTCCGTCGGTGAGACGCAGGTGGCGTCCGTTAGGACCCGGCCTGTTGAGTAACTGCCTGATGAGACTGGGTATCCGCCAGAGAAGTACGGCATCTCCGACGCGTGGGATTGCAAATATCCGTCCAGACTATTAGAGGGATATCCACGGCTATGCAGACTCCTGCCGTGATAGTTTGGATCGATGAACATCGAAAAGGACGGTGGAACATGAGACGGCCTCGAGAGACGCTGATACAGATCTCCCAAAATGGCGAGAGTGCGAACGCGGCCTTGGTCGGACTCTATCTGCAACGCCATCAGATCCAAAGTGGTCCCCCGCTCTTGTGCTTCGCGGAGATGTCTCAGCAACGCCCCCTGCAGTGTGATGATGATATCTTTCATCTGCTCACGAGCGATCGCGTCACCTTCCTCGTATCGTCGGCCAAGCTCTTGGTGGTGCTGATCAAACCGGCGTTGAATCTCAGTACGGCCCAGTGCGAGCGACCGTTCTAGTTCCCGGGTGGCCTGGCGCTCGTGGTGTTTCTTTCTAATGGCAGTATACATACGTGCTCCGTCATTGTAGGCGGAGACGACTGTTTGCCGATTTAGGGTTGTTAATCTCATCTATTGATAATAGGAGAGGGGATGAGCTTACTGGCTGCCACACAAGCTACGACTGCGATCACCTCCACCCCCGACATGGTGAGTCAGATGGGAGTCAGATGGGATTCGGGTATATGGGAGGGGGTGAATACGAGCGGTGTGGTGTGTTTTGGGATCAAAGGATATAATAATGAGTCAGAGGGATATTTTCTTTTCCAAAAGCTTGGAGAAGATAAGAGAGGAAAGAAGAAATGCCCAGGAAAGGGACGTCAAAAGAAAAGAAAGAGAAAAGAAGAAATGCCCAGGAAAGGGACGTCAAAAGAAAAGAAAGAGAAAAGTGGTCATTGGCCCAAGGCAGTGAGACTGGGACATATATTGAAATCGACAGGTACTTCTGATAGCAACAGCACAGTCCACCTGAACAAGTTCTCTTTGATTGGCCGGATAATAGGAAGTGAAAGGAAATTGTCCGTTATAAGCGAAATGAGGGGGTTTGACGTCTGAGGCTGAAAGTGCTATCTAATTATTTTACTGTCTATGAGATGGTAAAAACATGTAAGATCTACATAATACCATATAGAATCATTAGTGCAAATCAGTGGATATTTACGATCAGATCTCGATGATCGGATCCACCACACACATCTATATGCTGATGTGGCGTATAATATTGATCCTGTTGGAAATTACAAATGCTTATTGAAAAAGTACTTCCATGCATATCAAAGATCACAGTCCTAACCTGGGCCCTAACTAACCGTACATCCCCATAATCAAATAGTACAAACGCAACGCTCAAATGCAAGAAAAAGCAAATCCAACACCACAGCCAATGATCAACAGCAGCGCCCCTTATTGCGTGACGCACGCATAACCCTCTCCTGCTCAGCTGCATCAACATCAACAGGTACTGCCAAACCAAGCCAACTCCTCCTCTTATCACCATGGCCGAGTCGGAAACTTCCGGTACCCTCCACAACCCCAGGACTAAAAGGCCCGACAACCCCATTAGCTATGGAAGTACTGCCGATCGACAAAGCCAGCTCGGTATCCCGCCGATTACGCTGTTCAACCAGCTTACGCGTGATAACCCGGAAAACCTCATCGATCCCCTCGCCGTCCCGTGCGCTGATCTCATGACAGCAATCCCACCCAATCTCCTGTCCCCAGAAGGCCGAACTGCGCTTCGAGTCTGGACTCTGAAGGGCATTTGACGAGAGTGCTGCGGCACTGGCACTGGCGTTGCTGCCGCCACTCGTACCTCCAAAGACAGATGTCCCAAAGCCTAGCCCGCCCATACCTGCCGTTGCGGTTGCTGGTGGGGTGGAGGCTTGGGTTGGATAAAGTTGTTCAGCGACATAGGCGATTGTGCGCTCGAAAGGAACGCGGCGGCGGGAGGGGTCGTCGGCGACAATGTCTGACTTTGTGCCTACGACGTGGATGATGAGGGAATCTGTGCCGTCGTCGCTGGGTGTGATGTTTTTGCGGAGTTCGCGCAGCCAACCAGCCATTTCTTGGAAGCTGTTTTGGTCGGTGATCTGTGCAAATAGTCAATATTGGTGGTTATGTAGGTCGCGCATGTATAGGCAGCAAATGCGACGCAGGGGAAAGTATGGGGATGTCCTGACATCATAGCACAGGAGTACTGCTTGGGCTCCTCTATAATAAAGTCTCGACATGCTGCGGAACCTCTCTTGTCCGGCTGTGTCCCATATTTGCAGCCTGACTATGGTATCGGAGGTGGAATCGAGGACGCGCTTTGTCACGAATGACGCGCCGATGGTTGAAGCCGCTGCGGGGTTGAAGGTGTTTGTACAATATCTCTCCACGAGCGCAGTCTTTCCCACCCCTGGTTACGATTAAGGTTAGTATAGTGTTTAGTTTTCCAAGTACATTGGAAACTGGGGATATATACCCTGTGCTCCGAGCACAACGATCTTAGCTTCAAGGCTTGAACTCATGTTTCCCCGAGGTTGAGGAAGCGGGGATCAAGTTTTTGTATTCGCATTATATGTTGACAGTCAAGTTCTTTGACAATCAACGCGATACAAACAAAGCGATCAGATTAAAAGGAGATTTGAAAGAGAAATGAAAGAAAAGAAAAGAAAAGGACAAGTTGCTGGTGTTATCAGCCGATGACTCTTGTAGAACACGTGCAGTTGACCGCGTGAACAAGGAATAAAAAAAGATGAAAGGGTTGGATTTTATAAAACCAAATAATTTTTTTTATCTTACAGTATGAGATTGTTCTAGGCAGAGTATAACTCCTGGGGTTATAGTGTCAAATGATATGAATGGTCGGTCCCCTTGCTCAGCCTCATGCAAGGCAGCACCCGCAAATTAAATCCCTAGGCAGGTTAAGCGTGGGCACATGCAGGGGAATATATAATATTTACAACAATTTATATGTATTGGTTCTTGCCCGACCGAACCATTTTTGAGGGTCATTGAAAAAACAGCACTGCACTTTATTTCTAGAGGGTGCAGACAGGATCTTTCACCGGCATCAGGGCCAGGGTATCATCCTCTAGGCCCGAAAAGGCCAGAAACAATGGGTATATAATTCAAAAGCAGAAAAAAAAGCAACATGAACCTACCGTTCACTCCATTAGACAAAGGGAACGGCACGGCCATAACAATGAGAATGGGTAGCGCAGTGCTACCACCTCGATAACTTGAAAAACCAATCGGCAAATCTCACAAAAATGCTGCTCTCAAGATTGAGACTTGGAGTTTTCGGTCTCCTCGTGGAGTTCCTTCTCATCGCTGGAGTCGCTGCGAGAGCCCTTCTCGCCGGCGTTCTCCATATCGCCCTGGCGGCGGCTGGACTCGAAGCCATACTCGGCAGCTTTGGCCTCAATCTCCTCATCGGTGAGCTTGGGCAGCTCGTAGGCAGCCTTGACATAGCTCATGTTCTCGCAGTAACCCTTGGCGAAGATGAGATCGATCTCCTCTAGACTGCGACCAGCGGTTTCGGGGTAGAAGAGGATCATGGGGGGAATGAAGATGAAGTTCATCACGGCGAAGAACAGGTAGGTACCCCAGGAGATACTTTCAATCATAACCGGGGTGATCATAACGACAGTGAAGTTGAACAACCAGTTGGAGCAGGTCGACACAGCATTGGCCTTAGCACGAGTACGGAGAGGCGAGATTTCGGCGGGGTACAACCAGGGGAGAGGCAGGATCGAGGCACCGAAGAAGGACATGTAGAGGAATAGACCAAAAACGGCACCCTTGGAAGGTCCGGTCTGGTCAGGGATCAAACAACCGAAAACGATGATCATAGCAACCATCTGGCCGGTCATACCGCCGATGAAGAGCTTGCGACGACCGATCTTCTCAATGAAGAACCAGGAAAAGGTGGCGAAGATAGCGTAAACAATCATGTTGACACCACCGATAAGCATCGACATGAAGTTATCCTGACCGAGAGACTTCTTCAAGAGGACGGGGAGGTAGTAAATCACAGCGTTGCAACCAGACAGCTGCTGGGCGATTTGAGAGGAAGATCCGATCAGCATGCGGCGCAGGTGCTGGGTCTTGCCGCCGGTGAGGAGATCAGAGTAACCAGCACCCTCAGCAACACCAGCAGCCTCGATGGATTCGATAACAAGCTGCTTCTGAAGCTGGGTTTCGTGGGCATCGATTTCGAACCCACCGAGGGCAGCGAGCACATACTCACCCTCGTGCACCTTACCCTTGGAAATGAGGTAGCGAGGCGAGTCGGGCAAATAGTACATGCCAACAATAATGATGAGACCGAAGATGATCTGGAATCCAATGGGGAAACGCCAGGTGAGGTCATCAGGGCCGTAAGAGGCACCGAAGTCAATCCAGTAGGCGATCATTGTACCAATGGCGATGATACCACCTTCGATACAGATAAGAAGACCACGGTTGGAGGAACGCGAGCACTCGGCTTGGTAGGTAGGGATAGTCGAAGTGTTCATTCCGTTTCCGATACCAGTGAGGATACGGCCGACGAAGAACTGGGCGGTAGCTCCATGGCCCTTGACGGCAGAGATTTGAATAATAACACCGATCATCATGACCCAAGCACCATGAATAATCATGAGACGACGACCAAGCTTGTCACCAGCGAACAAGGCGTACATAGCTCCCACCAGGCAGCCAAGCTCATAGACGGCGGTAACTAAAGCCTGCATGGTAGAATTGCCATGGGTGATGGGCATGAACTTTCCAAAGGGATCGGAATCAATAATACCAGACATAACACCCTCTGTGGATTGTTAGCGTTGGAGTTTTGTATAGATCGATGTATACTCACGATCATAACCGAAAAGCAGGAAACCCATAGTAGCGATGGTCGACACCGTCAAATTTAAGGGCCTGCCGGACATGCCAGCATATGTAGGCGCCATAATGAATAGAAGATAAATATAACCAATCTATATAAGTCCAAAGAAAGACGACTAAACCCGTAAACACGTCCACCGGTAGGAATCTTGGGATGGAATGACTCGAGATGTACACGCGGAGAAAGGAAGAACCCCGGGGGGAATAGGGAGATATTTGAATGTCTTTCTCTGGAGATTTACGAATGTAGTAAGGAGATTCATCGGCATATATAATCCTTCTCCCCGTCTTCTCGAAGCTTAGAAAATAAATAACAAAGCCACCTGAGTAAATGTTGGTTCAACGAATCACATTGTTATAGAGTGGGGAGTATTAACTGAATGCATCAAATAATTGCATGTTAAGCATTTTTTGAGGTCTCCACCTGATTGCGTCCCTGGTGACATCACTGAAATTTCTTTCCTTTCTTCTTGAGAAGTCATATATCTAATGATTGGCCTTTCTTGTAGTGGATATGTCCTAAGATCCGCTACGACTGACCAAACATAAAACTTCGCAAATGAATTCTGGGTCATGTTAGAATCGAAGTACCAGGTACATGTCTTCTTCGGGTGAGAAAATAAATGAGATTGGCCAGGAGCGGCAAGGAGAAGAATAGGCCCCAATAAAAGGCTTGCCGATATCAAATAGTGCCTGATCAGCGGGATTGCGCACGCACACGGCAGTATGTAAAATATTTACTTTTGGAACCCTACGGAGTAGTACTCCATGCAATATACAACATACATTTATACTTGGGATGTTATACCCGATCTCAAAACCGAGTCCAAGCGCCAAGCCACTCCCGTACCTTTCGGAGCTGGTTGCAAAACGGGGGACTCGGGAAGCCGTCTCCATCCCGGTGTGAAATGTTCCGTGGAAGGACTAGCGTTATGGATAACCAAAGGGATCGGAGAAGGATCGAAGGATCGTCATAGTGGCTTACTTGTTGTAGAATGTGCATTATCCTTGCTTCTTTTAATTATGTTATTTTCTTTCTCAAAGAAACCCCTATCTAGGCTATAGGCAATACACTACATATAAGGCTGCATATTCTGTACAATGTACATCTGTATTTAGAAAAGAATATGAAAAGAATATAAAAAGAATATATGTGGAATAACTTAATTTACAAAAATTAAGCAAAGCCAAGAGGCCAAGGCGCCTAGGGCCCGTGAGGCTTTTTTTTTTTTCTTTTTTTTTTTTGGCTTGGCCGTTTCTTCTTTTTAGCCTGATGTAAAAAAATGACCCATGAATATTCAAATGTTATTAATATTTTCAATTGTTTTCATTAACATGACCCACGTCATGTCTCGAAGAGATGGATACGCGGAAAAGCCTCTCTTCCTATCCGCAATAATGAATGTCGTTTGGGCCACTCCCTGGCCTATTCAAAGTTTTCTCGAACTGCAACTAAGTGCACAATTCCGAGACATAAAGGCAACAAAATTTATATAGCATTGAAAATTCATTCCATCTGAATATACTGGTTTAGAAGAACTACTTACCGTTGAAGCGACACTAGTTCTCTTCAAGGCAGGTCGCATGTCTATGCCCACAATTCAGGAGACTATGGGTCTCTTTCGGCTAATAATGCATGTCGCTAAACCGCCTTCCTGATCTCGTAGGAACATCATTATCTCCCTGCCAATAGACCTCGCCCGGTGAGGGGTTAGTTGGGTGATAGAAAAGCCAATCAGCCGATGTCAGCGCATATACAGAGCACATTGTAGATAGACCCTAACAGATTTAATACCTCGTATCGGCCGACATGTGGATGATTGAATGAGCATCGGTGGCGATCAGGTGCGTCCTGGTTCGATCTACACATCTATGGACAGAAAGAATTGTGAGCCACATGCACATGGTACAACTCGTGCATAGTGTATTTGGCCGAACCCCTTTCCCGTACAACGTCAGCGGCAACCACGAGGCAACAAGGAGAGGTGTGCCACCACAGTGGCGGAAGATGGAGAAAGGAGAAATCGCGGAGCGTGGGAGGGTGGAGAATATCCGGAGGCGTAACGCCAGGGAGCATACCTTGTAGGGCGAGAATGGAGGCCGATAACGAAGTGGCTTGTGCGCTGTCAACTTAACCACCTTTATTTTAACGGTCAGTTCGAGCTAAAAACCAGGTTTAGAAGAAGCTTTG